TCTTGTAGCAGGTTTGAATCTTTTTTGAGGTGGTTGAGACTTTAAAGAAGTTGTAGAGGACTGTTATATAATGAAGCAATGTCATCTTTACTATTACATACTACTTTTATTTCACAATTTAATTAAGTTTTATTATAGAATTTGAGGCTTTGATGACATTTAAACTATTCAAAAGACAAACTGTTTGGTTATTGTGACAAAATGGCAACAACAGAGGGATCCAGATCCTTTGTGAACACCAGAAAAAAGTGGATGAAATATGATTTTTTTTAAGCATCAAACTACGCAGCAATCTCGGTGACAAGAGCAGATCAGTTAATGAGCTGACTGAACTGAACGTTTCTCCTTCATGTGTCAGACTGCAAGAACACATCGACTCCATCGCCTCAGACGTCCACGCTGGTGTTCAGGTTATTTTGGGCGAACGTGTGACGCCGTCTCTCGATGAGTCATTGAACTCCGTCACCTGAATCTGCACAGACCTCCACCTGCACATCCAACAGTCGTCCAAAGAAAAGTCTAAATCCTCTGCATTCTTTTTTTTTTTTTTTTACTTTTAATTCACAACCCATTCTTGAATTTAAAAATGTTTTTCTAATATTTAATTTTTCTCGTATATGAATGTATTTATTCATTTGCTGAATATTTTCACTTCTCTCTTAAAAATGTGGCGGTTAATTTTAACTGTAAGTATGTTGAGAGAAATGTTGTAAATGTCCTGATTGCAAACTTCTTTTTTTCCTTTCCTTTTATACAACAAAGTTATTTTTCTAATAACTTAATTGTTGTAACTCTCACTGCCTCAAACATATTTTAAGTTCAATAATGATTTTTTTAAAAATAATTTTATTACATAAAAACCTCTAAAAAGAGAAAAAAATATTAAAGTTGTCACATTATATCAACAATAAATATTCTGAATGATTGCGACTGTCACAGGATTAGGCTTTGTATAAGGCTTTTCTCATAGTGCCACTGATACTGGGAAAAATAACAGCTCTTAAAGGAGAAAAATAATTATTTTGCCAAACCTGCAGCAGTTGAATTTGTATCTATGTGACTGTGTGCTGAGCTGCACAGGGAACTTGTGGGATTAAAACCTGTGATGTCTCCTCTGGATGTTTTATTTTAAAAGAAGCAGATGCACATGTTGAAGGCCTGCCATCCGTTTTGAGTTTGGATGCTCAGTTTCCCAGAATGCCCCTGCTCTGCAACCTGCTCGGCTCTCTGCTGACACCTGCAGGTCAGGATCTGTCAGTGCAAAAGTCGATAAACTGGAACTGCTAATCCAAAGAGAGAGAAGATATCTGTGAAGATTCTCAGTCATCCAGGTCATGGTTATTCTTGTAGTTTAATCGTAATAACTTGAGTTGCTTGAAGACGTTCCACCTCTCATCCGAGAGGCTTCATCACTTCTGACTGACTAGTTGGGAGTTCCAGTTACTTATATCCTTAAGGAGCCATTAACACTTGGAGTTTCAGTTTTAATTGGAGGTTTGTTGAAGACATCGAGAGGTGAAACGTCTTCAAGAAACTCAAGCAAGTCCAATTGTTATGATAAAACTACGAGAATAAGCTGTATTGTTTGCTGACTCTTTTTGAAGCATCTGAGTTGGTAATTCCTCGATTAGAAAAGCAAACGACAAACGCTGCTTTCACTTCCAGTCAAACCACATAGCTGCAATCTGATTGGTGGAAAAAGACATTTATTTACAAAACCTTACCGTTCCATCGATGAAAAAACAGACGTGTACAAAAACATGTTGACACTGAAACTCCCGTTGTGACTTTTTTTTACAGTGAAACACAGAGATGATGACGGCACGACGATCAGACATTCACCAATCAATAATCAATAACACCTCAAGTGGGAAATCATTATCAATAAGCGCTGGTCATGTGATGGCAGAAAGTAACAGCAGAAAACTTTGCCCTAATGTTAAAGGAACATACCACTGTTTTTCTCTGGTTTGGCCTGTAACTCCTACAAAATGACACTAAATAAAAACTCGCACTGTTCTCTTCTGTGGGCTTTCATTTTGTATTACTCGTATTTTTCTCCTCAGGCGTTTCTTCTGAAGCATTTCACAGCTTGAAAACGTGAATGTCTTTAACGTTTCTTCAATAATTTAATCAATCTGATCCTGTGAGAGCATCAGATCATTGGCTGATTTCCTCCATAATGCTTCGTATTTTCTGTCCTTTCTTTCTTTAGATTTGTGCTGCTCTTCATTCTGTTTTGTTAAAACATGCACTCCAAGGATTAGTAGGACTGGATGTTATTGAGGGGTGTGTTTTAAGTAGGTTTCCTTGTGACTGACAGGTTGCTAACACATCACTGTGTGTAGTGTCCTTGGTTTCTTCCGCAAATCCACCGCTCGCTTGGTATCACAGTGTTCAAACGTTCACAGGACTAGCAGCAGTATGATCCTTTAAGGAAAGTGCAGCTCAGAAGACAAATAAACCAAAAAGGCAACCGAAGCTGCTGAGCTACAGAGCAGTTAGAGGCTCAACAAAAGGAACAAGGTTAAAAACAGCTGGTAAACTTTATGTTCTACACTGTCCTCTTCACTCAGAGTGAAACCCTGTCAGCCAGAAGTGACATTCACATGTTATTTAACTGGTTTCATGATGTTCACAGGCAATGCTTTGTTAATTCTATGGATGAACTGAGTTGGACCTCAGCTGGCTCTGAGGTTTGGGGACTGCCTGAATGAGATGATTTTCCTCTGCAGGAAGTCTGGTCTCCTCCTGAGACTGTGGGCAAGGAGTTCAGGGATAAGGCTGCCACTGCTTCATGTTGAAAGGAGGTGGTTCAGCATCCAATCAGGATCCTCCTGGACCTTCAACAGGGTTTGTTTTTTTCTTTTTTCAGACATATCCAGCTAAAGACCTGCGTCGTCCCACAATACTGCAGAGACATCTTATCTGATATGGGAATGACTCTGGATCCTCTTGGAGGGAGAAGCTACTCGAACCACTTTGGTTCAGGTTGAGCAAAGACAGCAGTTTGGCTTCAATAAAAATAAATACATTGTGTCTCACTCTGGATAAAAGCAGACCACCATCTGTTCTAAACCTGAACCAAAAACTTGAACCAGAGTCTGAATATTCACCATCCATCCATTCCTTTTCCTCTGTTTATCTGTCGTCGGGTTGGAGGGGCAGCAGGGTAAGCCAGACATTCCAGATACCCCTCTCAAATAGAGCTCTATAGTTCCACCCTGGGAACTGGAGGAACTGGGACATGCCTGGAAAAGCCCCAAAGGAAGGTACCCTGGAGGCATCCTAGTCAGTCACCTGAACCACCTCAACTGGCTCCTTTCAACTCGAAGGAGAAGAAACCCAGCTCCTTCTGGATGTCTGAGCTCCTCACTTCTCTAAGGCTGAGCCCAGCCGCCCTACGGAGGAAACTCATTTTGGCTGCTTGGACCTTAAGCTTGCGCTCAATACCCAGAGCTCATGACTGCAGGTAAAGGTTGGAACAAAGATCAACTGGTGAATCAAGAGCTTTGCCTTCCGACTCAGCTACCTCTTTATCATAATAGTCCAGTACAAGGACTGCAAAATACTGTTGATAGCTCCAATGCATCTGTCCATCTCACGCTCCACCGTCCCATCACTTGTGAACAAGATAGCAAGATCCTGAAACTCCTTTGCTTTGGGCAGCAACTCACCCCCAACACAAGAGGAGCAACTGAACAGTTCGTGGCAGAGACTCTTTACACTCGATGGTAAACTGCCTCGGTGTGCACTTAAGGTTACAGCCAGATGAAGCCAAGAGAAACACTACATCAGCAAACAGCAGAGATGCAACTCTGAAGTTCCTAATTCTCAGTTCAAACAGAATCAGAGAACCAATTCTTATTGCTATGGTTTACTGCAGGTGGACAGTGAGGACCAGATGTTTGAGATACAAATGAAATGTACTGACAAATGCACAGTCAGTGAACATTTTCCTGATACGAATCAAATATAATGTTCAGTGTTTTCCTCACTGTGTGGATAGAAAACCTGACCTGCTCTCAGTTAAACTTCCTTTAAAACGTACTGAATGTGACTTCTAGAGGACAGGGCTGCAGATTGTCACGAAGCTTTGAGCTCTGCTTTACTGCTGCAAACAGCAAGCTGACCGTCAGACCAAGGCACTGCTGCTTCTTTTAACATCTTCTCTCTCTGGTCAGCAGGTCTGAGTGTCTGCAGAGTCTGAAGACACACCACAGTTTGACTCACAGCCTTATAAGCTTTACATTAAAGGAACACATTTCACTACATCCTCTTTTTCTTCTGTCTTCCTCAGAGTCTGATGTTGCAGAAATCAGGTTTGTCTCAGACGGACTTCAATGCTGGCTGGTGTGGAAGATCAAGTTTAAAGTCTCTGCTGGTTATTTTTCATAGAAGTAAACACAAACCAGTGAAATTAAAGGGTTTGACAATGATCATCAAGATGTGATGTTAATGTGGAAATTTAGGATTGTAGCTACTGATGATTCTATTATTCTGCTGATTAATTATTAATTAATCATAATGTCAGAAAATACTGAAATGTCTCAGAGACAGATTAAAACCTCAAAATACTGCATTGACTTGACTACAGTAGGAAAGCAAGAAATTTTCACACTGAAGGTGAAACCAGTAAAACAAGCCATGAACTGATTTTTAAAATAGTTGCAATTAATGTTGTCGATCGACTAATCATTTAATCGACTAATCATTTAGGCTCTACTGACATTTGTAGACTAAAATTCATGAAACCAACAGTCCAACCCTCAAGGGTGATGACCACAGCGCCGCACTATGATCACATGACTGATTGAAGGACGCGCACCTGCACACACACTTACTTACACACACACACACACACACACACACACACACACCTGCACAGGTACAGAACCATCAGACAGTCGCAACAGAACAACAACACAGACCTCAGACTTTCCTGAACCATCTGTGCGCTCAGTCACACTAACATGCCTCCATGACATTATCTGATGACATCACTCGACCGGCACGCCATCCACGCTCTCCTGGGAGATCTCAGAGTCCAGGGAGTAGCAGGAGCTGCCGTTGTCCTGAGTGTCCCTGTTGGCCTCCTCAGATAGCGCAGTGGGGGCGCCGGCCGAGGCCACGCCCCCAACCCCACCCCCGGCCTCCGCGGCGCCCTCACAGAAGTGGGCGGAGGCCTGGAAGAGCTGGCTGCAGAGGCGGTTGTAGCGGTGGTAGCGAGACGGCTTGCCGGTGTGGGTGTACATGTGCTCCTGCAGCTGACTTTTGTGAGAGAAGCGCAGGCTGCACACGGCGCAGGCGATCTTACGTTTGCGTGAGTGCAGGACGGCGGGGGTGGGGCTACTCCCACCTCCTCCCCCGCCACCTCCGCCCCGGCTCCTCCTCAGTTCAGCAGCCAGCTGGTTGGCAAGCGCCTGGCTCTGCCTCAGCGCCTCCTCTAGGCATCCTGCGTCCAGCTGCTCCTGGGCCCCCGGCGGCCCCTCCTCCACGCCGGTGTCCAGCTCGCCACCCTGCGAAAGTCCCTCCATCAGGCGAGTGGGGTCGAGGGCGTGGCTGAACAGATGCTCCCGCAGGCCTTCAGGCGAGGAGCAGCGTTCTCCACAGCGGGGACACAGCAGGACCAGGGGCCGGTCTTTGAACAAGAGGCCCTGACTGGGACTGCTGCTCTGAGATGGAGACCCCACCCCTGGACCCTCCTCCCCCTCGCCGTCCTCCTCCTCGTCCACCCGCTCCTGCTTGATGCGAGTCGAGATGTCCGAGTCATCTCCGGATGCCACGGAGCAGACGTTGCGTAGTGCTGAGGACTGATGGTCTGAAGGGACCCCTTCCAGCCCGACAGCTAGGGACAACTGGGAGTGGGACCGTCCCCCCCGGCCTGAAGACCGTCCATCCTCGGGGGCCCCGCGGGACACTGAGGTGGTCTTGGGAACTGCGCCTGCCTCCTTGTTGGCCAGCTGGGAGGAGATCTGGATACCATACAGGTTGGACATGCGGACCACATCAGTGGCAGCATCAGCAGCGCCCTCGCCGGGTTTCCGGCATAGCTGGTAGGCGTGAAGGAACTTGATGCCGTCCTGCAGCCGGCTCTGGTCCACCGGCTGTTTGGGACACATGCCAGTGTACATGATGTGCAGCAGGTAGCTGAAGACATCTGGCTGGATGTCTGTAGGTTGGATCTTTATACACTCACTGAGGACAGACAGAGACAGAAGTGTCAACACAACCATTATGTTTACAGGTTGACACAAAAACTGCCGGTTTGTCCGTGAGGTGAACACACAAGTATGCAATGTACCCTACAACCATCAATGCAGCGCAATCTCAGTCCTGCAGTCAAAGAAGAGCTGCAGCATGAAACAACAAGAGCAGACTGAGCCCCCCCACCCCAACCCCTGACCTGGACTGGTGGATGAAGATCATCTTGAAGTAGTTGGAGAAGGCGGCCAGCACAGCTCGGTGAGCTTTAAAGTAGACGTTTCCAATGGCGACGGTGCAATCACAAAGAAAGCCAAACTCTCTCTGAACGTTGAGCTGCTGCAGCAGGAAGAGGCTGTGAGACGACACCTCCATGGCCCCGTCTGAAACACAGACATCAACAGCAGTCCTGTAACCATGTTTTCATTCTGAGCTGTTCAGAACCGCTGATGCAAACTATCAAGAACGCTGCATTACTGCATCTCTAAAGCTGAAGCTCTACTGGCTTCAAAAGCTTCCTTTCCTTTCATTATGAAAATATCTTCATTGGATGTTTACGTTTTTTTTAAAAAATGAAACGTTATTTCATGCATTTCTTTTGCTTCTCTGTTGAAACAAACTTACGTCAGTCTCTGACCAGACCAGGTAGGAAACTACAAAGAGAGATGAGGCGGTATGTTGAGCCTAAAGTCAGAGTTTTCAGGAAGGTTTTTCTTTATATATAGTTTTTGGCCTTTTTTTTTTTTTGCTGTATTAGATAGAACAGAGACAGACAGGAAAGTGGGGGGAGAAGAATGGGGAGAGACCTGCAGCTAAGGGTCAAGAACGGGACTCGAACCCACGACTGCTGCATTGGGGACTACAGCCCCTATACATGGGACGCCAACTCATCCAGGTGAGCTATAGCGGCGTCCCATGAAGGTGGCGCTCTTTTAACCTGATAGATCACCATGGTAACTGATGCCGTACAGCTAACCTGCTATAGAGCAGGTTCTGTTTAGAGTTTCAGATTTACATCCGCTGTAAGAAGCGTCTCCTTTTGACCAATTGTTTTTTGGCAATTCTCTCTGTGATACAGATTCTCAGCTTAGGAATACGTCATAACTGTATACCTCCTGCTGAGCTGTACGTAAGGAAATCCACTGAACGAAGCTGTTCAATTACAACAGAACAAACTGTATGTTGTCATGGAAACAAAATCCGTTTTACACTGCTGGTACTGCAGCTAATGGAAAACAGATTAGAAAACGGATTTGTCTTTTGGTGTTTATTCCAGAGAAAATTCAATCAACGACATTCATTTCAGGGCTGCACGGTGGAGCAGTGGTTAGAACTGTTGCCTCGCAGCAAGAAGGTCGCCGGTTCGTGTCCCAGTGAGGACACCCGGGATCTTTCTGCATGGAGTTTGCATGTTCTCCCCGTGCAGCGTGGGTTCTCTCCAGGTTCTCCACACAGTCCAAAAACATGTTGATGTTAATTGGTGATTCTAAATTGTCTGTAGGTGTGAATGTGAGTGTGCTTGGTTGTCTGTCTCTAAGTGTAGCCCTGTGATAGACTGGTGACCTGTCCAGGGTGTCACCTGCCTTCAGCACCCCGGGGATCCTAGTGAGGATTTTAATGGGTGAGGT